AACAACACCTCCACATTTCACACGTTCGGGCCGGACCAGCCGGATCTTATTTCTCCTCCATATATTTAAAAATTTGATGGCTTGTGGAATAAAAGTCAGATTGGACTCGTTAGTCACACACCATGAAAGAAGAATGACTATTTGTGAAACTACAGATTTTAATGTGGACGTCGTCTATGATTCAGACAGTTTTAGCCCGTTTTTAGGTTGTTGTTGTTGTTGTTGTTTTTTACAATCAAATAAACTTTATAAACTAATTACTTACAAGACATTGTAATTTGACAAACATGAAAAATCTGTAAAATTACATTTAAGCAATGATTTACCTTTTTTCAGTCCACCTATTGTTTTTTTGTATGAAAAAAAATTGCAGATATCTGTTAAATAATCCGATTTTGAGCTCATTTTTGTGGAGCAAAAATAGTTTACGACGAAACAACGTAAAGGAACGGAGGGGAAACCCAGTTAAAGACATTTTTTTTTACAGTCTAGATGTTTTCACATCAGGATGTTTCTGCTGAATTAAAGAACAAGTTAAAAAGACACCGTGAAAAACTAAAATTAGGGATTAATTACTCTAAATATTAAGCATCCAAAATCTTTGCTTAAAGTCAAGTAATACATAAATAAAATCTCTGCTATCGAGTGTTTACGGTTGATTCAGATCATTTAGAAACACAATAACTTCACAGCACTGACAGAATGAGCTTCACCTACACTCATCTAGACGACATCTGAGCACTAAGGAGTGCGTCAAACTTTTTTTTGGGAGTGAATTAAAGTGCAGCGTTGATGGAAAACTGAGGCCATTGCAAGGAAGTGATGAAATTTGGGTTATTTATGGTCGGATCGCCGACACCCTGCAGCCAGCGAACTCCTGTGTGAGTGAAACGCTGACGTGAGCACTACTCGTATTAGATGAGTGATTGAAGAAGCTGATTAAAATGTCATTAATTTTCTAGGTTTGGTCATTAACCAAAGTGTGAGGCAAGTTTAAAAACAGAGGTGCTAAAAGAAAAAAACAAAACAGAACCACTGAAGTCAACTGAATGGATTCTCCGGGACCTTATGGGGCAGATTTTACAGCCGTCCATCCAGTGATTGTTGACATATTTTAGTCCAACAGATCAACATTATTATCTTCTGAGGCCAAACTAAACTTCTGATGCTACACACAGTGATGCAATTTGATAAAACAATTCTTCTGGAAAAGGAATCTGACTGAGATAAGCACATGAAGGGTTAATTTTTCCCTGAACCTGATAAAATAATCAAACACAGTAAGTGCATGTGGGCTTTAATCTAAAGATTCTCTCAGATCGGACCCTTTAAAGGAGTTCTCTATAATCTCAGCTGTAGGAGGACTTTTCAGAAGCCAAAGCAACACAACACACAGACTTGACAGCATCTTGTTTTCTCTGCAGATACAACGAACGGCTCTCTGCAACGACGGCAGGCTCTCCTCGGTGCCCGTGGGACTGCCGGACAACATAGAGGAGCTCCAGCTTAACTACAATCAAATTGAAACACTACAGGACTCCGCTCTGCTCCATTACCCCTCACTAAACGCCCTGAGCTTAGCTTGCAATCGTTTGGTGAAATTAGAGCGAAACACTTTTCAAGACTCAAAGTTGTTAAAAAGCCTCAACCTGGCGAACAACGACCTTCGGATCGGCTACCAGGAGAGCAGCCTGGCATTAAAGAAGCTCCACGGTCTCACAGCTCTGGATCTCTCTGAAAATAAGCTCGAAGATGAGATGGCTGCCACTCTCCTCGAGAATCTAACATCTCTAGAGTACCTCAATCTCTCCGGAAACCTCTTGCAGAGAGTGGACGAGGCCTCGTTCAAGGACCTCCACCAACTCAAAGAACTGGACTTGCAAAGGAACATTATGTTCGAGATCGACGGCGCCTTCGACGGCAACTCCAAACTCCAGCGGCTCAACTTGGCCTTCAACTATCTGCCCTGTCTGACAGACTTCCACATGACTCAGCTGGTGGTCCTCAACGCCAGCCACAACATCATCGAGTGGTTCATCTCCAGGCAGGACCTGAACGACACCTTCCAGCTGGAGACGCTCGACCTATCCAACAACAAGCTGCTCTTCTTTCCCTTCCTGCCCAGCCACAGCCGTCTACGGAACCTCTACCTGTCCCACAACGTCATCAGTTTCTACGAACAGATGGCGCGCAACGTCACGTCCCCGAACTCCTCCACCACCGTCGAGTTCTACAATCTGAAGAACTACATGGAGAACGTGACCGCCCAGTTGTGGGACGACGACCTTCACGGCGACACCTCCTCTCTAGAGATTTTAGACCTGAGAGGAAACCAGGTGGATTACTTCCCTCAGGGATTCATCCAGAAGATGCCGGCGCTGTCCAGACTTCAGATGTGCACCAACTGCCTGGAGACCTTAAACCTGACGTCGGAGCAGTTCACCGGCAGCTTGTACGAGCTGGACCTTAGCAACAACAGGCTGAAGCAGGTTTTGGCGGACGAGGCGGCGCTGACCGCTCTTAGCAACTTGACATACTTTAACCTGAGCCTGAACGGTCTGGAGAGGCTACCGGCGGGACTGTTCTCCTCGCTGCCAAGCATCCGGTCGGTGGATCTCAGCTACAACAACATTGACGTTTGCCTTTCGGAGGAAGCTGAGCTCACTACACACACTGTTTCATCCTGCGCAGATTGGAAGAACATCGCATCCTTAAGGCAGCTTTACCTTAAGGGATGCAACCTGAAAAGAATTCCAGACTCTGCGTTCACGGGTTTGTTGTTGACGCACTTGGAACTGTCCGACAACCCCGGACTCAACGCCCAAGAATCAATACAGAGCCTGAGCAGAACGTTGCAGCATCTCGGCGTGGGGAACACTCACATGCACGGCTTCGACTTCTCCCACCTCCAAAGTCTGAAGTCTTTGAACATTTCAAAGAACTCCCTCGCCCACCTTCCACCTTCGCTTCTCAGCCTCGACCTGAAAGTGCTCGACTTGAGGGACAACAGGCTGCCCACTATCCACTCGGCTCACGCTGCCGCGCTAGCCCCCAAACTTCACACCGTTTTCCTCACAGGAAACCCGTTCAACTGCTGCCAGACGGAGTGGTTCAGGATATTCGAGACAACAAAGACGATCAACATGTTCGGACAATCGGAGATCGAATGCGAGGATCTCTTCAGGACGACGCACAGCGTGGCGCGCTCCGAGTTCTTCTCCTGCGACGAGGAAGGCGGAGAATCTGTGTTCTGGTACATTTTGCTCCTTGTGCCGATGTGCGTTTCGTTCCTGGGGGTTTCTCTGATCGTCTCCCTCACCTTCAAGCCCACAATGCTACAGAAATCAATCAAGAAGAAATGCTTGAGGCCCACGTCTTACTGATACTTTATAAACCCTACATGTAGCTACGACTTTGTACAGTATGTTATTGAGAAATGTAACTGAATGTATGTTGGAAATAAACTCACCTGACTGTAAAACCGTCGACAACAATGCAGTGTTTAAACTAAAGGCGTGCTACGTATTGTTCAGTGAAGTGTGACTGAAAACCAGCCCCTCATCCTGATACTCAGATGCAAAAATGTGGCTGCGCTCTTGTGGGACTCAGTGTGTGTGTGTGTGTGTGTGTGTGTGTGTGTGAAGATATGCAGAAGTGGTGTGATGCAAGCTGTTGCTATAAGCAGCAGAGGAAACATGAAATTTCCTGTTTTGCTAAGATGTGCAGCAACTGCCCAGTTCTGTATCTCAGAGAGGAGGGGTTTGAGGTTTCCTTCCCACCACTGAGACTCAGATGCATCGCCCAAATTGAATTCCAGAACGTCTACACCCAGTTCGTCTTGACCCCCCGTATCGATTCCCGGCCGTCTGCCCTGCCGTGCACGAACGCAGCAAAAGTTTAATGTCGCGGCACGTGGTTTAAATACATCTGAGACGAGGGGCAGAGAGAGAGAGAGCGCTGCATGGCACCGAGAGGAAGAGCTGTGTGATGTGTGCAGCTGCTCACGAGGCTGGTAGCTGAGCGAGTCACTGTACACGGTGCTGGAGGCTTAACCAGAAAGCAACCAGAATACCGCTGTGGTGATGCTCATGGTCATGGTGGTTGGAACATAAAAAGAGAAAGCAGAGCGAAGCTTTGCCAAAAGCCTTGAAAACATCCCTGTTTTTTTGTTTTTGCATATCCTCCAGTTGCCGGTCAGTACGTTACAGAATCAAAACACTTTCTTTTTTTTTAGTGTGTTTTCTTCTGAGCTGCAAAACACAAACCAGTGAGGCGTTAAGAAGGCGATTTGAGATCGCAGCTTCAAGGTTTTTTGGGGTTGAGTGGCATCAAGCTAAATGATAAGGAGTGTGAATGACTCACTCGTTTAACTCGAGCTAAACTACGAGAAAATGCAGAGACGCTCGCTGAGGTTTTCGGTTTCTCTCAGGAAATAGGCAGCGTGAAATATGAGATAAAGATGTCCGGGTGAGCTTTGTGAAAGCGAGAAGTGGACCTGGAGTGACAAAATGTTGACAGAATGGCTGAAGAGCCTGGTGACGCTGGGAAGGGAACTCGACGCCCAAATGTTTGAGGAAGCCGCTCTGGAGGCCGGTCAGAGATTGTTGACCAAGAGGAATTTTATTTGATTACTCAGCTATATCAGTTCACAAGTAAAAGGAGAGCTTTATAGAAAATAGGGTAGAAGTCACTCACACTATGGAAACAGCAAGTTAACAGGGTGGAGGTAAAAAAAAACAAAAAACACACACATTCAGCCCACATAAAGGATACATGAAGGCAAGTTAGCAGCATGCATGTATCTCAATGCAAACCTGCCACTTTAATGATGTTTCTATTTTTGCATGTGAGCCCAGCTGTGGTTACGGGGTCACACTAGAGGCTTGTTACCGGATGTACGCCACAAAAGCAAACAAGTGCTCCTCACAGAAACTACGGTGCGTTCGCAGCTTCTCACAGATAAACGGAGAAGTGAAATCTGAAGTGCAGCGGTACGATGAGATTCATCTGACATGCTTTCTGGCAGCAGGTGATCACTGCGGTGCATCAGAGCTGCAGCCTCGATAAAACACACCTGGACGCGTTACACCAGAAGTGGTCGGGGGTTGCGTGAGATTAAGTATGCCCCAGATCGCGCTGAAGAGGTGTGACATAACAGGGTTTTGTCTGCAAAGTCTGAGAAGGTTAGAAACCGTGCATGATCGTGCAGTGAGCAGTTTGTGTTATGACAGCTTCGGTTTGTGCAAAATGCAAATGTGCACGATCACAGTGAGCACGTTAATCACACAGACTGTACATGGAATATGAACACAGTGATGGTGATGTCACATATTAGTTTGTGGACGACCGTTTTTAGGCCTCAAATTAGATCTGATGGAGAACTCAGCAATCCAGTAACAACCTGTCAATCACACAGTAGTCAGACAGACGCTGCTTTATTGTCTGTTTTTCTCTAAATGCGGCCATTATTTACCGCATGACCACCATGCCGTACTAAAGGTGGCTTTAAACTTGCAATAGAGACCATAAACTCATTAGGAAAATGTTTACTGAGGTAACGGATTAAATGAGAAGTCGGCTCGTTTTCTCATAGACTTCTATACGAGCAGAGGAGTGGCCCCCTGCTGGCCACTGAAGATAGCGCACGACTGCATTGCCTTCACACTCCAACGCTGTTTGTCTTTTATATACAAAACATAAACATAATCATGGTTTTTTAACCCAACTGAAAACTGTCACCTGTTAGTGGCGCCTAAGAAACTTTCTAGAACTGGGACATGAATGCTTGTGCTAAATTTCATGGCAATTCGTATATTTTGCTCAAAAATACACGTCAACATGATAATAGTGCTGCAGAAAAAGTCAAGGAATCACCAAACTGAGACCATGAATGCACACTGAACAAAAGTGTAAGTGCTGCATGCTGATGTCTACTGTTTGGAAAAAGGTCAAACTTTGTAAACTGTGCACTTGACATTTTTAGGCTGTTCATCCGATGAGTCAGTCCACACCCTGGTCAGGTGTAGCTTTAAAAGACACAGTGACTATAAAAGGCCACCTTAAAATGCAGCTTTATCTTATTACTTTATGAGACCAGGACGGGCTGCTGGCTGCTGGATTCTGCCATGCTAGTTGGAGGCACTTGAATATCCACAGCTCCATTATTTGTCCCCAAAGAGATCGTTCCAGACAGCACGGTACAACATGACGCTCTGGATGTCCAACCGCATGATTCTCCAAACTGTCAGACAATTTCACCGAGTCGTTTGGGAAAAGTGGGACAACGTTCAGCTTCACGACTCTCTGCATCACAGACTCGTTACTGACTTGTGATTTCTGGTCTTTGACCCAAATCTACGGTGGCCGGGAAGTGACAAAACAAATTTACAAATGGCGAAACACTTTTACAAGTAAAATCAACCGGAAAGGGAATGTACCAACTCTGGGATTGAACCGGAAATGGTAACGGGGAGCGGCCAATAAGAGTTGTTGTTGTCTTTTGTGGAGTTCATGGTGACCCAAGATGGACAACGACCGAGTGATGTTTGGCCCGTTTTGTGGCACACATGAGCCGATTACCACGTCAGTCCCAGAGTCGGTACGTTCCCTTTCTGCTTGATTTTACTTGTAAAAGTGTTTCACCACTTGGAAATTTGTTTTGAACTTCCAGGCCACCGTACTAATCTCCGTCTGACTGTTATCATCTCCAACGTAGACGTACCTGTTTAATGACATCCATCGGAACAACAAATTCTTATTCCTCTACATTAAAAGAACATGACATTACATGCTGCATCTATATTCTGTTTTTGTTCTCCTGTTTGCTCCAGTCCCTCTGCTGCATACTTCAGCCAGATACTTCACACCTTCAGTAAAATCAGCTGGCGGCTCAAGAACATCAGCCAGAACCGACTGACTGAACCGTCTAGCAGTAGGTGTGACAAAAAACAAAACTAAATACATAGCGTGTAGTGAAAACATGTCTGGTTCATCATCTCACTTCACTGTTTCAGCAGCTTTTTTTTCGTCTTTTCATTCTGAGTTTCCTGAACAAACATCTCACCTTCCAGCAGGTTTGTCATTTTCTAGAATGTGAAACTGTCTGACGGGAAGTTCTTCACACGTTTTTCATCGATATTTACACTTTTCTTTGTCTGTAGCTTGTGTAGTAGCGACATGAATTAATCTGAAAGACGGGTCAAAGTGCTTTTCAGGAGAGAGAAGGATCGGTGTCGCAAATTCAAACAGTCAAACTCAACGATATCCTCCATTATGTGACCGATCACAGTCACAAGCCCACTGAGTTACATGTAGAACTAATCTGCCTTAAACGTTGTGGTCAAAAACCTACAAAATGACTATTAACCAAAGTTAAGAACATATAAAACTACAAATTCACAACAAATCCAAAGAATCCTGATGAAAAGGCATTTAGGAGAGAAAGCTTCGTTCAAGAAGGCCGAAGGTCAAACGGTAAATGGAAAACGGTAAACATAAAAATAAGGAATGATGAAGGAGGAAGTGTTTTTCTCAGGCAGGCTATCTCTCATTATCTGTGTGAATTAGTTAAAGCTGACTTTATCTCAGAGACACAAACGTCTAGAAGGTGTAAGAAGCGACCATCACTTGTTTGGCTGCTCTCTCCGCTCCGTGGCGACGCTTTAGTTCGACTCCTGTTTCTGCTGCATATGGAGATTTTCTCTTTCACTCATTTTTTAGCATCACACTTTTAAAAAAAGGGCAAAAGGCAGCGCAGACTGCTGAGGTCAGGGGTGAGCGGTTGCGTGCTGTAAAATGAAAATATGTAATGTGATGCACAGGCAGCTTCTCAGTCAACAGGCAGTTTGCAAAACTCCACTTCCTCTTAACCCTTCCTGCTCTGATGACAGGCAGAGCGAGACCTTTGCACTGGACTAGCATGAAGGTGGACTCGGCCGAAGGAAAACGGTAAATATGCTGAGCTGTGTGGTACTAACAGCGCCGAGCGAAGCCGTGCAGGGTTACTGGTCGCACCGCCACATGCGTTTAACTGGTCGTGTAGAAAATGCTTAAATAATAGAAACAGAAACAAGCGAACTTTTAAACTTCTGCTGCGTCATCTGTTTAAATCCAACTCTGGCTTTGTGTTGCAGCCCATGAGCCCTCCGCCGTCACAGAACATTTCTAGTTTTTATTTTCCTCCTCTGCAGAACTACTCGCGAATAACGGGTTGAATTTGTACATTTTTGTTTGAATAAACTGAACAAATTCTTCTTGCACTTTGTTATGAACACCTCCAAGTGTTATCCACGTTAGAAAACTGGAAATCAGAGCACGTGGAGGAGACTCAGGACTGACACACAGTCGGTCACACGGTCATTTTATAAAACAGCAGACCGGCTTTCTGTTGGACTCGGACTGGAAACACGTCACACGGCCACGAAACAACAACATGATGAGAAGAGACGGATTCAGAAACACTGAGTTCAGAACAACTCAAACCTGAAGTGAAAACGAGCGGCTGCTTCTTCAACCTGCTAAACTCAGCTGCTTTCTGTTTAAACCAGCCCAGTCGCCATCTTGATTCTTCAACTTTTAACCCCAGTTTCGAAAAAATTGACGCCCTCAAACCAAAATATACGACATAAAATAAATAGAAATAAAGATTTTACACCAAGAAACTTCAGTAGGACCCAAACAAGCAGGCGAATAAACGTTCTGTTACTTAAAAAAAACTCTAAATTCAGCTGTTTATTATCATGAAAAGCACAAGTTCAGCTTTCTGACAGGTGCTGCTCTCAGACTGGTGGCGTCTCTTGAATAAGGTTGTTTTTAGTTCAGTGTTTACGTGTCCGCAGAGTTCAGCTTCACAGCGTTCAGGTCTGAAAGAGTCCAAACAAAGGTTTGTGGGTATTTTTGTCGCCATGCAGCTGAAGTGATGATCTATAATGTTGATTTAGGTTCTGGAGTGGATTTTTTCCATCACCTCTGTCAGAAAAATATATAATCCCAAAGTTATCTTCAACAAACAATATAAAACGTAGTCGTGCAGCAGCTGATGTGTCCACACAGGAGATGCACGCTGAGATCTTTCAGCAGTGAAAACATCCACAGTGTGTCAGTACACAGAACCGACAGCAGAACTTTAACACAGCGTCAGTGGATTCTCAAAGTCCATCCATCCATCATCTCTACACCTTAATCCTCAGTAGGTTCATGGGGGGCTGGAGTCTATCCCAGCTGACTGAGGGTGAAGGCAGGTTCACCTGGACAGGTAACCAGTCTATCACAGGGCTACACTTAGAGACAGACAACCAAGCACACTCACATTCACACCTACGGACAATTTACAATCACCAATTAACCTCAGCATGTTTCTGGACTGTGGGAGGAAGCCGGAGAACCCGGAGAGAACCCACGCTGCACGGGGAGAACATGGAGACTCCACACAGAAAGATCCTGGGTGTCCTCACCAGGGACGTGAACCGGCGACCTTCTAGCTGTGAGGGGACGATGCTAACCATTGAGCCACCTTGCAACACATTCTTAAAGTCTCAGAAGTAAAATACAAACAAACAAACCAACCAACAAACAAACAAACAGGACAGACTTTAAATCAATAAATACAACCCAGCGCTCATGTTAAGTACTGTAAATTCCATGTATTTCTTATTTCCTACAAAAACTGTATTTTATTATTTATGCTGCATTTTTTCTCCTTTACTAAGTTACGTATGAATTATCTTAAAATGACAGTAATTATCTATAATTATGAAGCTCTTTATATAAAGATATAAAGATTCAACACTTTTAAAATCAGTTTTATATTTATGGATACTTTTAAAAACAGACAAACTTTTCCACAACAGCAGAAAACCCAACACCACTCCAGTGTGTGTTCATCACTTTCATGGATTCAAAAAACTCTCCTTGTAGAATAAAAATGTGACACAGTCGAGCTCTGATGACATAAACGAAGCTGTGACTTGTTCTCATCTCCTACCTGGAGGATTCACTTTGACCTGCAGCTCTGTGGATTTCTTCCTTCTACTGGTTTCTATCGATCCTGCTCATCTCTGCTGGGGATAACGGGAAAGTTCTGCATTAACAAAATAAAATATAAAACATTTTTAAAATTATATTCCATGTTCACAACTTTTTTTTCCACATATTTCACTTTTACACACAACTTGAAGTGTTGGATGAATCCTTCAGCTACATTATACACCTGTTTTATATAAAGATTATAAGACATTTACGGTTTAATTATTTCATATTATAAAAATTGATTCATTTATTTAGTTGTCAGAGGAAATCATATGAAACCAGAAGGTATTTCTGTTTCTGGGGACATTTTAGAGACAGAAACACTCCTTTAAACTCTTTTTCTTGAGGAAAACACAACATAAATCTTCATAAATTCACAACCTAATTTGTCATAACTCCAGCTTTTAGTCTCTTGGACTCGTGTAAAATGAATTCATATAAATGTTGTGTCTGTGCACTCTGTCAGGGCCTTTTAATGTGACGAAGCCATCGACTGCAGGACATCTTAAGTAAAACGTTCACTGCAGTCTGACGTCCTCGTGTGCATCACTCACCTTCTCCAGGTGAAGAACTTACACCTAAATACTGACCGAGGTGCACCTTTACTACCAAACAAGGCTCTAACCGTGGCTGCTACTGACAACTACGAAACTAAAGACATGAATTTGCTCTGCAGGTTTTTATTTTATAAAGCTGTGCTCTGAAAGGAGACGTTCAGGTAAAGCTAAAGCTGATCCTACTGCACACATTATTCCACCCGGTTCAGCAGGTCTCCCTTAAATGAAGACTTTCCATCAAACTGGGTCACTGTTCTGACTTATCGTCTGGGGAGTTCTGGTCCACAGCTGCTGGCGCTGCAGCACGAGGCTCCGCCGGGAGAGGAGGAAGTCGCTGGGGAGTGGATCAGGAGAGAGCTCAGAATAACACCGGGGTGGAGGGAGGCTTCGCTTTGGAGCGTTTGCTGAAGAGAGATCGATTAGAAGTCAACAGGAAGTCACGAAAAAATAAAAAATATGTGTACAGTCGTCCTCAGATGCATTCATAGCCTCCATTAAAGAAGGAAAATAATCACTGAAATAAGCTGAAATCGACAGAAGTAATAATAAATAAAAAAAATTATAAAAATCATGGCGTTGCTTTTGAATTGTGGTTCAACAGAAATATTAAAGAAAAAAAAAAACAACAAAAAAACAAACCTGATGGGACCTAATATCAGCAAGGTTCTGTAATCTGACCAGGACTGTTTGGTTTTTTATTTTTTTAATTATTCTTTTCAACCACAATTCAAAAGCAACATCTTATTTCACTAAATTATAATTTATCAAATTTTTATTTATTATTACTTTTTTCAGTTTCTTGTTATTTAAGTGTGAATTTTGCCTTTTCTTTGATGGATAAAGGGTCTGAATACATTTAGTTTAGGGCACAGTTTGGGCCACTCTGTCAGCGTTTGTGTTGCTTACTTCACCTCTCAGTCTTTCTCATTCCTCGTATTTGCTTCGTGGCTGCTGTTAATCTGTTCAAATGACAAACGGAACACGTTTAAAGTAAGAGTTTGTTTTTGTAGATGAGCGGGACACTTGTGCACCACTGAGAGTTCAACAAGCAGAAAAATGGTGAATATATCAACCTGTAAGTGCACCAAAGGGGATTTATCTCCTGAAAAATGTGCATTTTCTTTTGCCTTTACAGCACTTTTTTGTTGGTTAATCACCTATTGTGCATGCTGTTCTTTATGTTTTTCTTTTAAAGCCATTTTACTCAAGTAGAAGTGAAAATAGAAAGTTTCTCAATCTCACATTTCTGCCAGACGTGACATGGTGGAAACACTGGGACGGATCCCGTTGGCTGTTCTGCCCTCTAGTGGCTCCATCAGGTAGCATGAAAGTGAAGCGCACGTCTCACACGCATGAAACCGCAGAACACGTGTACGTTTAATGCATCGTATTGTATATTTATTTTACAATTGTATGCAATCTTATCAGGTACACACAAACAACAACAACAAAAGCAGATGTGTAATAATAATAATACACTTAAATCTCCCAGAAAGTAACAAAACATTTATGTGGAGTTGAAATGCAGGTTTTAGGGAAACCGATGGAAGCTCGTTAGTAAAAAATAAAAAAGTAAAAGTCTTTACTTTCAGGGATTTTTTTTTCTTCTTTTTTTCCAACAACAAAGTCGAGTAAAACCAGACAAACATCACGAATGTCACGTGTATTTCTGAAAAATACACAATTTAATAATTTAATCGGAGAAAGTATTTCTGAAATGTGGAGAAGCTGGTTTCCAATTCTACAAGTATGAGGGTTGAATACTTAGAGAGGAGGCTGAGCGGACAGTCTCAATACTGCTGGCGTAGCTGCAAAAAAGGCTTCTATGTGAAGGCAGGTCACTGGGATGTAAAGGCAACACGGTGAGAGTCTGATAACTGCCTCGGCTGATAATCACACCGTCCAGTCTGGTGAACACAACACGTACAGTATGGTGCATGTTTAGGAGAACAGCTGCTGTTCCGTTAGATCATCAATTATAAAAAATAAGACTTAAAAATAATCAGCATCCACTTCAAACTGAAGTGCTTTTGTTTTTGCAATTAAAAAAAAAGATGTGTCACCACCGTTAGCGGTGAGGGAAGAGAAGAAAACAACAAAAGCATTCAGGTCGCCATCTGAGATACATGTTGTAAACAAACGGTTGTTGTTTTTTTTTTAAGTTACAGTTTGGGAGATGTTCTGGCACATATTTCAGGTCGCACGGCATCAAACACAAAGAAGCGGGTTTAGGAAATGTACTGCAAAAGAAAAGACGAGGGAATGGGTCCGTTTGCTTTCCCTTCGCTCGCGTTTATTCGTTCCTCCACGAGTCCGCTACGAGCGAGACTCTGTTCCTGACAAAAAAACACTTCTCCTTCTAAAAACGGCTGAATGGAAGAGAAAGTGAGGCCTGTCCCTGCAACATGATATAAATATGAGATCACAGCCGGTTACAGAGGGCTGGAGACGGGTCGGGCTTCAGTTGAGCAGCTCCAGGTAGGTGATGGGCACTTTGCCCTTCTGGGTTCCTCGCTCGCCCATCAGCCAGTCTGAGTCCATGCCTGGGACGCTGCTGACGGTGATCACCTGGAAGGACAGGATGGGTTCAGCCATTATCAAGTCTCTGTATCATCTATCAGCCGACATAGTGAGCACTTTAATCAGCCCTGTGGACTGTTTTCCACTGGTGGTGCGACGTGGTTGTAGATCCTGTTATTATCAGAAGCAGCGTGGGCTCACAAAACGCAACCGTGGACTGGAAAATGTTTAGCTGGCAAATGAGGTAATGCTGGTTCATTGTTAATCAACCACAAGCTTGTAATGGACAGTTCAGATCTTTTCCAGGAAAGGGAGTGGCGTATGTTCCGCTGAGCAGAGGCGACTGCAGAGAAAGTGGATCGTATGTTTACACAGGACGCACAGAAAACAGAGGAAGTTTGGATTCAGACTGGGCTTCTGAATCTTTTCAGTCTTTAGATTGAATGGAGACACCAACAGAGAATGGCTGCTGGTCCTGGAGAAACTGCAGTAACAACATTTGCACTTCAGAGTTTTTCTCAACAGTCATAAATTGAACTGATCAGTGACTATCTGGCGCTCACCTCGTCGGCCAGCAGGGACAGTTCACTGCTGCTGGCGGCGTCGTAGTCGTACAGGACTCGGGCTTTGCGGCTGCCGTTGGAGCTGCGCAGTTCGCTGAATCCGCCCGACGCCGTGGAGCTGCCGCGGCCCGCCGACACGCTGGGCAGGGAGGCAGACACCGGTAGGGTGGGCACCGAGATGCTGGCCCCGCCAGACACCGAAGACTGGTTGTTGTTGGTGAACGTGGAGGGGAAGCTGAGGGAAGGGAGAGGAGGAGGAGGAGGTGATGAGCGCTGATAACCGTGGACCGGCCGTGGGGGCTGTGAAATTTTCCTGTTATCTCTCACTTTAAAGCGCTTGACTCCTCTGTGACCTCATTTAGTTTCATCAATATTAGTCATTTTCCTTCTTCGCCAAAAAAGTGAGAACTTTTCGCGAGCCTGCGTGAACTTTCTCAGCTTTGATCACACGAGGATCACAAGAACATTCGATGCCTCAGTTCACAGGAAGAGTGAGAACGTTACCCACTTGAGAAGGAAATGAGAAAAATAAGAGATAAGGACGGGACGACTTGATGTTCCCTGCAGAATGAAATGAGTAAGAACATAATGTCAGCTCTGTTTGGAAAACACTCGTGTGTGTTTGTTTCCTCGAGAGCTGCTCCAGAGGATCTCGTGTTTCAGAAAAGCTGTGACATTTTTCTAAACAGTCGGGCAGCAGCATGAGAAAAGCTCGCTGTACGGAGTTATTCTAAAAAAGGCAGGAAGCGGTGTTTCACCTGCCGAGCTGCTTCTGCAGATCCACCATGTACTGGTAGCACTGTGCGTAGTACGTAGTCTGGGCCTCCACGAAGTCGTTCAAGCAGCGTAGGTGGTGTGCCTGGAAACACATGACGACAAACAGCATCTCAGCTGAGCACAAACGACTAGAGGCTTTACTACCAAAAGGAGGCAGCGCTGTAGTCATATTTGTTGGTGATATTCGTTGGGCTGTGTTACGTACGTGGGTGCTGCTGACGCCTTCTAGCAGCAGTCGGGTGATTTCTGCCTGACGGTCGAACTCGCTCTGGGTCATCCTGAGCTCCTGCTCTGCCTGAGAACGAAGACGTACCGTTAGTTTAGAGAACAGGCACAAATACACACCATGAAATGATCTAAACAAGCAAAATCTTCACAAACAAAATGGAAAAGTGGTGACAATCAAGGCACAGACCAAAGGAAATACAAAAACAACAAAGAAAAACGGCACATCTTTGCATTGCTGAGAGCCCAGAAGGTGTTTCCACCTCCGAGTCTGAATAGTATTTGTTGCTAAAGCTTCTCTGATTTTAGACAAAAACCATCAAATTAAACCGTAAATCAACAGTTTAAATTTTGCTTTTCGTCTCTGTTTGGGAGTTTAACATGACACGGCCACAAGGAGACAAGATCAGGGACGTCAGATGTGATGATAAGATAACAAGACTTACAGGAACAACAAGGAAAAGGACACAGCATCTGAATGTGACGTTTCTGTCCTACGGGAAACGTTTCCTTTTCTTCATACCGGGCCAGTGATTCAATAATGGCTTGTTGAGACTTTCTAAACATGTGGACAATGGTCTCGCTGTCCTGCTCCCTCCACAGCTTACATTAGAGGCCGGCAGAGAGCTGTGGAGGAAGGGAAGCCTCCGCGATTCTTTAAGGACCCGTCCACAAGGATTCAAGGTTTCCCGTGAGGTACGGCGGTATGTGTCGTGGAGGAGATGGAGGAAGAGACGGACGGCAGCTGTTAGGGGTTTGTTGTGTGTGTGTGTGTGTGTTTGTGCTCAATTCAAAGATGGCTCCAACATTCCACTCACCTCTGTCACTTCCTCCGCTCACATCTGCTGCTTGGCGTTTTGAAAACAGTGACACAGTAGTTAGAGCTACAGCTGCTGCGAAGCCACAGCCAACACAACACATCCTGACACTTAGAGTGAAAGCGAGACAAGAGGTGCGTTCTGACAAAACCACACTCAGCAGGACCGTAGGGCATGAAATACTTCTCATCCCGAAGCCTTCATGCAACCCAAACCGCTTCAGATTTCCTGCAACGCCATCACTGGAGCGCAGATTAAAGAAAAGAGCCGGCGCTGGTGTTAACCAGAAGAAACTACTGTTTACGGCTCGAGTGACACTTTCTTTCTCGTGAGGGAACTTGTTTGCTCAAATATTGTTGACAGGACACAAAAGTGTTTGTAGAGATTAAGCACACGATGTAATGTCAACACCGAGCAGACTGTGGAAAAGATTTAAAAAGAATATTCCAAGGAGAACAAAATAATAATTTTGCAACCTGAAGACCTGAAAGTTACGCTCATGGGGCCAAAAGCAACTCATTTATTGTAGATTATCTCTGATATCGTCCTGTGTTTAATGTCCATCCTCGGCTCTGACATGAACCGTTTAGAGATGATGCTCCTGTGTATTAGTTCTATGTTGAGTATATGTGTCATCCATGTCCTTACCGGCACACCCTCTGCTCCTGATGCAGCCCGGGCGGGGCGAGCAGGAGGTTAGGTGTTTGTTGCTTTTAATGATAACGTAATGAAGTATGAGGTCATTAGAGATTTAATCTTCTGCAGGCATTGTTAACTGGAATCCAGGGAGCTAACTCGTGTTTCCTCGCTCCTCCCCCCCATCCGGAAATTCTTCCCCCTGAGCCTTCATTCAAGACTTTCCAATTCTTTAAATGCACCTCATTGAGAGGAGAGGCTCTTAGCGGAGCTGAGAGCGAGGACACGCCGGCGTGCGCTGCCCCTCACATCCTCGCTGGGAGACGCCGAGACACGAGGAAGAGCTGAGAGCGTGGGAACCGAGGAGGCAAAGGGAGCCACAGTCTAAACCGGGGGAGTCTTACAAAGTCAGATATGCTCGACTGTTTAGGAGCAGTGATGAAATAAAGTATTATGTTTGCAAGAAGAGAAACTAGCAGGGACTCACGAGAAAAACTGAGGTCATATTTCAACATTTCTAAGACACTTCAAAAGTCATTTGCTGAAATTGTATTTTCCTCATGAACGGCCTCAAGACCCCACTTTGTCTTCATTTGTTTCTTCCACATTACGACACACCAATAAACACATCCTGCTCACACACACCTGGAGTCACACTTTGGTGCAACGAAGAGTTAAAATCTGAATCATGTCCAAAGAACACGAACACAAAACAAAAGATAAAATGAAGACGACTCTCTGCAAAAAAACAAAGAGGAAGTCTAAACTTCCCATCATTGCTCATGTGACTGTATGCGAGTCACAAGAGATAAAATGGTCAGCCTCGTGTTGTGTAACTTAGTGTGTCGGTGGTGTGACTTCAGACACAGGGACAGCGGGACACGCCCTGAGAGCTTCTCTTCCCCCAAAAGGAAGTTGGCTAATGATTTTGGCGAAAGGAGAATTAATCAGCATTAAAACAGTAAACAGCCACATGCACAAACGACGGCGTAGCGCTGACGATGATTTGTGTGTTTGTGTACTCACCGCAGCTCTAGCATCAGTCATCCTGGCTTTCTTTAGTCTGGTTTTGGCTGCGTCCAGATCCAGGCGTTTGACCTGCAGCAGCTTCCGCTCTTTCTGGACACGAGTCACGACACAATAGCACCCTCAGAAATACGATTCTCAGCTCGGAGCTACGCATAATGTCAGCTTTCATGCAGATGAGGTTTGTGGTTTGTCTTGGCTTTCATCAGGCCGTTTACAACAGACTGAGGGTGAAATATGTAATTAAAAGGTCTTATGTTGCACCAGAAGTACAAAAAAGGGAGACTTAGGATTGACTGTACCTGAGCAAAGTAGTTCACAGAACACTGAAAACAGTATATTGTTCATTATTTAGCTTCACACAATAACAGCATCAAACTATTTTCTAGACTTGTGAAATCCATGTCTATCTACAAACTGATCTGGCCTGAATTTTTGCCTTAAAAGTATTTTTTAACCTCACTGAGCGACTGCAAAATGATGAGTTCAGTCATCAAGCACTTGTGTTGTGAATTAGTCCCACATTGAAGTCCAGCGAACTGATTCAAGATCTGCAGCCAGAAGCCGAACTCACCAGGATGGTTTTAAAGTCGCCCTCCAGAAAGTTCCTGAAAGGTGTCAGGAAGTTGATGGCAGAACTCTGGATCAGCTCCCGCTCGGCTCCTCCGATCTGCTTCTCCGTCTCGCCGCATTTTATCAGAGCGTTTCCTGTGATGGTCAGCAGCAGATATAAACTCCCAAAACAACACGGAGCAGAAGAAGATTACGCAACGTGGAAAAGCCTGAAGATTTGTTGACTACCACACTCGGAGTTACTAATAAGCTACGGCCACAACTGAAGAATGACATGGCCGAGGGACAACTGGCAGGGGATGGTGCTTAAATCACAACAGAGTGTGGTTCAGAAAAGCCTTTACTCAGTTTTACAAGTCTTTGTGAGACAGAACGCTGGCATGCAAAGAAATGCTCAACAACAACAAACCCCTTATAACTAGAGGCTTTCAGTGTTTTTTGTCGGGGGAATACTGTCGGGGAGGATTGTTGTTTGTCAACCGGCTACTTTGGTTTCATGAGATCAACTATCTTCTTTGCTGCCTTTGCAGATTTTAAAAAAGGGAAAGTTTTCAAATTTGAATCAGCAAAGCCACAGGCAGAGTCGAACAGCTTCAGCGATGTGTTTCTGTGGAGCACTCACCGTAGGCAGTCCCAGGACCAAACTCATTTCCGGAGTCGATCATAGACTGGCCCAGCAACTCATGGTTGTTCATCCGCGTGGGGGCTTTTTTCTCCAGTTTCTCATACACAAACTCTTCTAGCCGAACATCTGCAGACGAGAAAACTCAATTACAAAGTCATAAGACTACAGTGAGGGAGCGACGCCGGTCCGAGAAGCCTCCGAACTGCCTGACTTAAATTTGCAAACAGAAGCTTTCATTATGACGAGAGAGAGTTCAGGATTTCTCATCTGAAACTGATTTGATTTGTTTCATGTTACTTTGTCATGTGAAAGAACAGACAGCTCATCAGTGGCGTGTTTTATGTGGACACAGGAAAAGTGGAGCGAAGCCAGTTTACCGTGTCTAAGACGGTTACACAAGACCGCAGCCACCAGATGGTCCGTCGGTGTTTGTTGTGTCTGTGCTGCTGTTGTGCTGCAGCGATGTGGCGTCGTGGTGCGAGCCGAGGAGGATGCACAGCTGAGCTTACAGACACCCTACCTACGGATGTACGTCCAGCACCCTCTCACAGATGTTTGGCATTTTTTCGTGTGACCCTTAGTGGCACACACCTCCTAAACTGAGGGGTTATTGGATGCTCTTGTGGGCTGTTTTTTATGATAAAAGCAGCACATAAATAAGCTGGTAATGGGCTTGTGGGATGAGAAAAGTCAGCGGCATGAGGTTGACACACCTACGAACAAGGTTGGGCGTCTTCCTGCCCCGGATGGGGGGCTTAGGGTGGGTACCTGCCCTGAGCTGCAATGTGACAGCATTGTGGTTGACAGGTTCATCAGAAAGCATGGGCTTACTTGGGTTGGGCTGTAGTAAGACCTCTGTCTGCTTCATAATCCTCTCTGTCCATTGCTTGGTGTTCTCAGCTCTGATCAACAGGTTCTCCAGGTGGGCATCCAACTCTGTCTTCTCAGCCTGGCCAAGCTTCTCTTCTGTAAACTGCAAAAAATACAAATAGAAGTGTTTATAGAGGACACAAATTGTCTGAGAGCACAAGTCTGAGGTGTCGCTGATCAACTAACGTTAGCAACGTTAGCCTACAAAACAAAAGTTGCCGCTATCGGCTCCGGTTGATGCCTTTAATCAAATCGATCCCGAGGCCTGCATTGATGGATATGTTGAACAACTACAACATTTTTGGGGTTTGTATTAAGCTTGAAGTATGTCTGGTGTTGGTAAATGCACCCTGCAGTGTAAAAGAAAACAGCTAACTTAAAAGGGGTCTCACTTTTAGGCGATAACGGGCCACTTAGCTACACAATAACAGCCACGGTAACGCTAGCTGTTTAGCAAGCGAGCTAACGCTACCTGACTGCTTGAGCTAGCGGCTAACGTCGGTTAGCAACGAACTTCAACGGGTGAACTTACTTGTACCGCGCGGCTCAGGAAAGTACCGGCGTCTGCGGCGAGTCGCCTCACATTAAAGTCCATGGCACGGCGGTGGGAAAAGAAACACGAAATACAATGAACTAGCTAGTCGCACACTCAAATGTCCATCCCTACGGAAAATGTCATTGAGGCAACTTTTTTGTCAGAGTTCCACCCAGCTGTTGATCCAGACAAAGACGATGTACCGACGAGATAACTCCCGTCCCCAACCTAGCATGACAGCTAGAAGCTAATACTACGCATGCGTATTGCGAAATACGCCTTTAAAGGAAAAGTGGGCACTAAAAATGATGTGAGTGTAAGAATCTGTGTTTATCGCTTTACGATACGAGACACGCTGCAAAATATAAACAATATAGACGCAAGTTTGATGTGTCAGAACAGGCAACCACTACCCGGAGTACGGCGAGTTAAAGCGAACACGGAAGTTAGCGGAGGATTTCGCTCTGGCGTCGTGTGTCGCTCTCTGACTCGACTAATCTTTTGTTGCATTCAGGTCACGCGGAAATATCACAATCATAATAAAGCGCATGAAGAAGGAAAAAAGTAATTGGGAAAAAATATCAAAATATCTGCAATAGTAGCGTAAGAAATGCGACCACCATGGCCAGAGAAAGTTGTTCATTGTGTGTTTTTTTTGGATGTTTTGTGCACAATATTCTGCTGCAAACAAATTGTCCTCAGTGGTATGAATACATTTTTGGTTTTGTGTTGTATTGGGACAGTTAAAAGTGGTGTGAAACCCTTGGTGTGATAGTATTTTCCCTCACAAATTCATGCAACACCCACATTAAAAACATTTGGCACTAGCACGTTAAACAAAAGTAAACATTAAAACTAGATTTTTATTTTTTAAAATTACATTAAGACACGCTACTTTTAAAAATAGAAATGTGGATGCTGAACGACCTAGCATTAAGGACACAGTGAAGGCATTATTTGCGCAGGCTCTTTCTGCATTTATGACGATCATCTGCCCTGAACTCTTGAACTAACACCCATCGGTTGTCACCATTCACACCCTTTACTATTGATTTGTTCCTGTGCTGACAGCTGTTTCAACGGGAATTAATTTTTTCAAGCAGTATACGCCATCCAATCAGTCGTAGTTGTTTATAAACTTGATTCTGACACTTTCCACCTACGACAAACACATGGCAAAGTTTTTATTTTTAATATCTATGTGCAGCGGGAGAAAGAGAGGGACGAGGGGTGTCTGCGTTTGGTCTTATTTGCAGCAGCCGTGGTTGGACTTTGTAATGAAGATGAAGTTAATGTGCTCACTTCAGGGAACCAGGGAGAGATTCTTTACATCCTTGTAGGTCAGTTGCTCAATCACCCAACATTCATCCCTGATTACTTTGCGCGCCCCATCCTCAACACAATATCTTTAGCAGACCTCTCATCTGTTTTAGAAAAATGTCTTGAGAATTTTTTTTCTTCAGATTTTTAGAAAAACAAAAACACTCTTCGGGCCTGGATGTAATTATGCCAGACTGAGCTTGCTACCTGCTGTGTGGGAGGAAGTCAGGCAGAGAGAGAAATCCAATGACTTCCCCTCTGTGGGCTTCCAACACACCGTCAGCCACAACCTTTCCACTCACCTAAAGGGTAGCTCCAAGGTTTTTTTTATCCAAACATTTGTTCCTGTGCGATAGACAACAGTGGGTTCTTACATATAGTCCAGCCAAGATAACAGTTAATACCAGCTTCCATTAAGACATTGATTTACTGTGTTCACTCTGCTTTAATAAGATTGAAGCACTGCCTATTCATCACTTGTCAACAAGTAGGTATAAGCTGTAAAAGCAGCTGCAACAGTAGCCTGCACGCAGCACTTTTTAATAACCACACCATGTCAAAGATATTAAGGCTTTGGCAATGCCTTGTGCTTGGCCAACTTTCAGAAGTGCTGGGGCGGGTGCTTTAAACATGCAAATATGGAAGTCAGCACTTTTGGAAAGGCAGAACAGCTCCTTTGAGGGAGGAATGAGTTGCAAGTCTCTGGTCGTTCCAGTAGTAAATCTGTGTGTATCTGTTCTTTCACTTCGCGAAAACAGAAAGTTCTCGGAGGAATAATAACCTGCTGAAGCTTGACATCGACAAAATGACTTTCTCATCATCGAGGCTTCCTGACGTCGCAGCGAAGAAGATAACAGAACATGCTGGTCACATAAAAGTTTTTTTTATTTGAGAATATGTTACCCAAACCTTCACTTTCTAACATAATGCAGCTTTGACAGAGCAAATGGATTCGAGTTTCATTCAGCACCAGGCTTTAGAATGCGACTGTCATGGGTCGCTGTGTCAAAGAACATCTGTAAACTCGAGAAAGTCTTTAAAAACATCAATGAAATGCAACTCTCCACACTCTATAAATACTTGAAGTTGAATTCAGGGTAAAATTAAAGACGAACACGACTATTGCTGCCTTTTTTTGACCACGTTTTCGGCGAGCTCCAGCAGCAGAGGGTATCTGAGCGTCCTCTCCCTCCACGACTCTGGGATTCCCTGGAGGCCGGTCTGAAAAAAACAAAACATCAAGACAACAGCTGAAAGCATCACGAAAGCACAAAGCTCTCAGAATATCTGCAGTCTTAAAAGGAGCAAACACAGACAACAGTATGCGAGAGGATCTATTCTCAGGTGCCGCTGACAAAGTAGATTTAAGGTGAAGCTCTGCTGTAAGTTTGTTGGACATCAGTGAACAAGTACGAAGCGTTTTCCCGCCGTCAGTGCTGCACGTTACGGCCGCATGAGCTGTGACTTAAAAGTGTGCAAGTATCAGTGCATCGCCATCTGGAAAACTTCACACTCAAGTGGTATCGCAGATGTACGAAGCTCAGCTCATGTCTTCTTGCCATGGTAACCACAGACTCCAGCTACGATACAAGTCTTACACATCTGATTTGCATTACGATGAAACAAAATCAAAACACCATTTTTTTCTCTCCCTTCTTTTGCATAAACAATCAATAAAAAGGCAATCTATCTGGAATGCAAATCCTTTTCCTCCTCTTATTGATTCCTATCGCTGGATAACGGCCGCCCTCTACTCCGGCAGTACCTGTGCTCCAAAGCAGGCTCCTATGAAGGAGGCTCGGCTGGCGGTGCATCCCCCGCAGCGCATGGTGCTCCTGACTGCTTCATCCAGCTGGTTCAGCGTCAGGACTCCATGAAGCGCTCCCTGGAACGCACCAGGCAAAGCTGCACAAAAAAAAGACAGACTGATGATAACAGATGATCTGAGTGAAATCCAGTCTGGAGATATGATGTGATGTTATCACTGCCTCTTAAAACTCCTTTACTTGTTTGACGTTGTTAACTTTATGATATAGTAAAGACTAGAACGGATCCGGCAGAAGCAGAAGTCTTCACGTGTACATTAAGGATCTCAACCTTTTAGCCCCGTAAAACCCGAGACACTCGGCTCAGCGGGAAGGGGAAAATGAAAAGGGAAGGAGGAGGGGAGACCATTAGTCAGGAGATCAAAGGCGGGAGGACCCACTAACGGATACACTGACAGGACGGATGTGCAGGCGATGCCAAGTCAACAGACCTGAGTCCTGCTGCTACCTACTGGCTTACCTCATGTGTTTGTGAACACAGCAGGTATGAGCTGTTGGGATGCCTTGGCTAAGTTGTCCTTCACCTGGTGGATATGAGCTTTAGCAGAGAAACAGGAAGAGAGATAAAACACTTTATTGTTCAAACACTGGAACCCATTTTGGCTCTGAGTGCACACTGCATCATATTATGCATCGTTATAGATGTAACGGGGGTGGACAAATCTGTACTTTATTTAAGGATGGTCATATTTATTTGTGTTTATTTTGACCAAATGTCCCCAAATGTTGGTTTCAGGATTTAAAAAAGGTTAAGAGAAAACTGGAGAGCAAATTAGCAAATAGTTCCTGCTTCACCCTGCAACGTAACCCAACGAGATGGACAGTTTCTGCACACTGGAATGCATGTTAAACTGCAGCGTACAGTAGCGGCAGCTGCAGGCGTGCTCATAAAACGTCTTGTAAACTCCCACAAAGTAAACTTTAAGGGCATTCTGAGCGCCTAATGGTTAAGACTCCTACCAGCAACATCCAAGACTTGATTGCAAAGATGTTTAGTATTGTTTTCTGTCCATGTCTACACCATTCTACCAATTAATGCCCTTTGACTGACACATGATCGAGTGTTATCAATCTTCTGATGCAACTCTGTGCAGGACAGTAAAGTAGCACAACTGTTCCCTTAAATGTCAAAGTGAACAAACCACTAGACTCTTACCAATGACAGCCCTGTCCAGCTCCTGAGGGTTCTGTCTCTTGGAGTCGTTCAGCTGCGCCAGAACTGCATTCAGAGCGTTGGGGTCTGGACCATTCAGAATGAAATGCTCCAGAAACCTTTCACACAGTACAAACACAGTCAGACAGGTTCAGGATACCGTTTCCTGTCGTGACATCTGTTAGGACCGTCCCTCACCTCGCTGCAGCCAGCGTCATAGCCACACACATGTCGTTGTTCTGGGTGACCCGGAGGGCTTTCTCCACTTTCTCCAGCATCTCGGGTCGCCCGGCGAACATGGCCACCACCGGAGCCAACTTAGTGACTCCATCCATCTGACAGTCCACGTCACAGCCTCGTAAAACACATACGCAAAGATTACAACATGAAAATCACAGGCCTGCAGAGGGCTGTGCACTTATGGGATCTTTACCAGTTTCCTCTTTGCCAGCATCGACATTTCTGAAGAAAGCCTTCAGGCTCCCGTTCCTCCACGGGCCGTCGATGGGCAGAACGGCTTTGGGACCTGACGAACACAAGAAATGGCTTTTTTTTTTAAAGGGGAGTATGAAGGAAGAGAAGAGGAGAGAAACACCTCCTTTCTGCTGTAGCAGTTGAACTCTCTGTAGGTGGAGCTCTTTTCTTTGTCTGTTCAGCCGTGATGGCTATCACTGCCCACGATGACGCAGCTCTTCTTATGTTATCCCTGAGCCACAAAGCCATCTGCACTTTACTGTACCCAAAGGTGCCCTGTGGTGTTATGGTGATATACTGCAGCACTGTATTTATATGACATCCTGACAGTAAAAAAAGCAGCAAATATTCAAAGTGCTGGACACCAACCAAGAACAGGGAAGTCTGACTGTATGGAACATTTTCCTGGAGAGGGAATTCCCCCGTCAGCAGGTAGAAAAAAACACTCCACAGCGTTATCGGACAGCAACAGAGGGGCTCACAGCCTTCTAGGTATGTTAAGCTGCTCATTAACTAATATGGAAATCACAACATCGACATATTGTTTAGTGAAGTTATGTAACAGGCGGACAGGTACAGCACCTCCTTTCTTTCTGTAGGGATCATTGAGAGGCAGATCGTACACAGTTCCCGGACCAAAGAACTTGTAGATGCGCTTGGTCAGGTCGTCCACGTCCACATCTGCAAAAAACAAGCTGCATCATCAGAAGAACGTTTACATTTCTGTTACTGGCGTGTTTTAAAGAGCGAGATGGAACTGGTTTGTTCACTATATTCTACACACAAGTCTCTTAAAGGTGGTTTGTGTCGCAAAATAGAGCGATAGTTTGGAGAAATGTGATTATTTGCCAAGAGTTAGAGCCGTAAATATGACCACACTTAACAAATAGGAAACCTTAGCAGAGGAAACAGCTAGTTTTGGACTTTCAATCCCACCGTATAACATATAATGTCATTTAATCCAAACTAAACAAACTGTTATATGGCTTATGCGCAGGACTCTGACCTCCTTTGGCTTCATATTTAACATACAGACACTCTACGTAAGGGTAAAGCTTGATTTTTGATGAGTCATGCTCCATAAACTACAAGAATCATCATCGTTTCATATGATTTGCTTATCGTATCAGTATAACTTGTACTAAGTTGTATTGGCAAATAAGCTGCCGCAGCGTGTTGGCAGGCTCTGAGAATACCGTGTTTGCATATGACACATAGCTGCTGCCCGTCTGGGTGGATCTCAGTACCTCCGCACTGACTCAGTGACTCCAGCAGGACGTACGCCTGGTCTCCATAGCAGGTCTGCTCGCCCGTTGTCCTGCGGTAGAAAGGATTCGCTGACTGAGGCCGAAACTCTGGACAGGGCTCCAGATCGGAGAGGACTTCTTTCAGCCGGTCTGGGCTGTAGATCCAGTGCATGGGCTGGGCTGCACACACACACACACACTAGTTTTTTGTTTGTGCATAATCAGTAAATGCATTATATTGGGGAATCCTGACTCTAAACATGAATTACCTGCACAAGCAGCTACTGTTGGAATCACTCTTCTTATATGCATCATTATACGGCGTTAAGAATTAGATGTGGTTGTAAAAGTACGTTTATCAGAGCAGCTGTTGCAGAAACTCAGCTTTCATAACATTAAGTGTGAAATCAGCACGAGCTGTAGAAATGGAGGCACCACCCATGGGCTTTATCACCATCTGCAGATGTTGCTTATGGATAACTCTACCGGTTATGTTTCTGTGCAACGCTACACAAAAGCAGATTGGAAATGTCATGTTGCGCAACAGGCATTTAACTGTAAAAGGTGGAAAATACGACAAAAGCAATGCATTCAACACGTGTATCACATTTGCAGTATGAAAAATAACCATGACTACGGCGTGAAAGAGCAGAAAGGCCCCTGAGAGCATCCAAATGAGCAACAGGCACATGAATTATTAGGACACGGGAGCTGATGGAAGGAGACGTGGTTTGCCACATGAAAAACTCTGCTGCTAATTAACTCAGCTCCGGTATCTGCATCTCACACACTTTATCTTACCTGCTGCATCTGCCACTGCTGCCCCGATAATGGCCCCGATGGCTCTGTCTGCCGCACTCGAGGCCATCTGCTTTCATTACGGACGGACGGACGGCATGAAAGAGAAATGTGGAGAGGGTTTCATGTTATATTCAGACGTAACCTTTGAAAGGGCTGCCTGCATGAAAACCTGTAATTTTCATTAAGGAAATAGAAACGTAGCTCGACGTTGTGGTGGGAAACAGGGTCTAACGTAGCAGATGACACCATTACACATGAACCTTTAATTCAGTGTTTGCAATGATGAATGCAGCATATAGAATATCCCAACATAGCAGTTCTATTGTTTCTTTTGGTGAAATACTCATCGTGGAATCAAGCTTCCAACCATTTATTTTAATAGTAAAAAAAACAGTTGCCATGTTAACGAACACAGCACAGCATCAACTACATGTCACTGCTTAACATATGGTTAAAGGATTAGAGTTGTTCTGATGTATTCATGACTTTATGATCATTACCAGCACACTCTTTACGATTTAGTCGTATTGTTTTGTGTTATACTTAGAATATGACTGTGCATATCTTGTCATTTAATAGCCCAGAAGTTCCTAAAACGATGTATAATGCATCATGAAGAAGTTATATTAGCCTTGTTTGTCCTTACCTTACAGCCTGATCTTCACCTTTCAGCGTCCCACTTGAAGTGCTGCTGACTCAGTGTCAGTTTTCAGAAAAAAGGGAGGGTACTGTACGTATGGCTGATAAGCACAGACCAATCGCAAAAACCATCTTTGCAGAGCACCCAAGGCCAGAACTGGACCGCACCGATAACACACAGCAATCAAAGAAGCATCACTAGCATTCAGAAAAGGGGATTTGTCCAGCTGAGGCTCATTGTAATGTCATTAGTTCTGCAGTTACTTGGTCATAAACCAAAATACTGGACAATCTGACATGTTATCCTCCTGATGGAGATAAACGGAAGTCCAACGTTGCCAAAGTTCATCCTGAGGGGTGCGCGAATGGCTGGAGACTTAATTATAATACGGTCCATCCTGTAGTCATGGAGATCGTTCACTCACGGTGGTCCTCGAGGAAAACTCAGGGAATCACCAAAACCACTGGGAGATATTTTCTAGGAACAATGAAGCAGACGTTTGACAGCTAAGACATTATTTTAAAATCTAGGTACTGAGTCATATAAAGTATGGATACAGAATTTATTTATGCCATTATGTCCTTTATTCCACTTTGAATGTCACAGCACAAGTCTTCTCCTGATCTGGTAAAATACTGCTCGGGCTTAACACAAAAATAAAACACTTGGCATCAGTCATTTCGAGTTAGAACAAAAGCCAAGCTGCCCTGTCTGCTGTGGAGGCGCTGTAGTGACCCTGCACTCTGACCCCAGCTTCCTAACAAGCTGGGATATGTCAAAAGACAATCAATAAAGTACATAAAACAAAATAAAAAATGATATGGGCTAGCTCCTGGTGGTAGCAAATTTACTTCCTACTGTGTCCCCTGTTAATGATGAAATCCACATTTATCCCCANTAATGATGAAATCCACATTTATCCCCAGTGACTGAGTTTAGATGCTAAACTTTTATCATTAGAATCAAACAGAAATGTTGGGATGGACGTATCAGTATGTCTGTGTTGTTCCACCCAAACATGACATGAATGTCTTTGTCAATGTTAAGTTTCCCTCTTTTAATTGAAGAAAACTTTGATCTGCTAACGGAGATAAAATAAAAGCCCAAGAATCACCATCTGGAGACCATGAACGTTGGTTCAAAATTTCACGACAATCCATCCAATAACTGTCAAAATATTTCACTATCGGCTAGTGCTAAAAGCTGCAGCGCCTCAAACGGCCACTAGAGGCCGGTTTTAAAGGTGAGTCAATCCCCATAGACCCTCATGTTAAAATGACTAACTTTAAAGCAGAAATAAACGTGTTTATGGCCCGGTACAAAAGATGGTTTTGGTCTCCATAACTAATTTCCCTGATCATGAAAACTGTACGGGGAAAAGATTTCTATAGAAGTTAACAATTAAAGTTCTGCATTAAAGGCGTGGCCACTTTGGGTGACAGGTGGGTCATAGGACAGTTCATAATCTGTCTCAGCCAGACGCTCTATTCCTGCAATAGTCAAGAGTTAGGTTGAACTGCCAAGACTCCTGATCTTCACAATCTACGGATGATGTCACAGACGGCTGCTACAGTCAATAGTTTAAACCCAAACATAAAAAGTGAAAGTTAGTGAACTGGATACTTCAAAAGAAGGCAAATCTAGCTGTGCTTTATTCTATTGATTTAAGCCAGCTTGAGTTTCATTTTGCTTTTTGACACACGTGAATAAAACGCTGCTGCAGACGCTGTTAGAGGCTGAAGACATTAGATGTGATTTCTGAGCCTCTCTGCAGACTTAACACTCCTCACTACTGAGCCTGGCCTGTCATGTAGAGTCTGTCCACATGTGCTTACACTCAAGACACTTTTAATAAAACTACTAATATTTTCTATAAATTCCTAAAAGGGACGAACCATTCATTTATAGGTTAATTTGCACTTAACGAACTCGACTCTAACACCAGAGGGTGAATTACTATATGCTGAAATGACTTTCATAGACTCTCTTTGTCATTTTGATTTGTCATGCTCTCTCTCGCTGTATATCTTCCACTCCATTGCCTCCGCCCTGACAGTTCCCAGCTGATCCTCTCCACTGCTGCAACTCTGATGAAACCCTGCAAGGCCTGGCCCCTCGCCACTTATCCCAGGCCTCTCATGGGTATCCCAGACCATTGATTTCTCCTCTGGCCTTCTAAAACACCAAAATAGAGTGCTACGGCTCGGGTCAGACAATCAATAGCAGTTAGAAAACAATGAACAAAAGCCGCTATGGTCGCCTTCACAGTGACCTCTAGGTTACGTTCTCAGATGTCATTGTGGAGAGATACTGAAGGTATTGTCAGTAACTGTACCAAAATCGTAGCATGCAAATCTATTCACTGAAATTTCCCTTTATTTATGAAGAGCTGCTTTGCATTGACGAATACAAAGTGTTGCGTTTCCAGTTGCACGTAGAGAAAATTCACAAGAAAACAGACTTCAAATAAGGATTGGTTAACAGGAACACGTGACTCTTCAATTTGTGTAAATATATTAAGTCGGGTACAGCTCAGGGATAAATCTTCATCAGGCAAATCTGCAGGAAATGGAGTGTGTTTGCCTCCTCCGGCAGCGAGATAACATGCCCTTCACAGAGCGGATGAAAGAGCTGCACAAATAGATCAGACGCCGTCACCAGATCAAGTGACACAATGAGCAGGGTAAAGCTCTATAAATTACAGTCTGGCAGAACTGCGGGGCGGTATCGATGGAGTGTGGACAATGTGGCGATGGCTGCATGTTCGCGGGGCTGCTGAGCTTTGGGGGCTTTGGTCATCTGGCAGGACAGTGGGGAGTGGAGGGGATGCCACTCGGTTATTTGATGCCAAAACTTGCAAAGTAGCAATGTGTAATTGAAGGCCACGAATGCTGACCTGAACACAATGCTGAGGTGCATTTAAGGTTGGCACAGGCAGATATGTGACCAGCAAAAGGAATGAACAAGCAACAGTGCTTTGAGCTAAAGACTAACTAGTGGCAGCGATGGAGGACTGCCCCCTTCATCTAAACAAGAAAGTAAAAGGAATTATATAGTGAAAATAGAATAGAATATAATACTGTTATTTATCCATTGGGGGAATTTTACATGCCACAGTCGCATCCAGAAATATAGAAAGTACAAGAAAATAATAATTCAGCCATATGCATCCTGGTGTCCACACAGCAGGTCCAAGATTCCACCGTCTCCGGGTGGGCCGTCCACATTCTAGCTGAATGTGGGGACAGTGGTAGAGAGTGATGTATGATCAAAGTCTCCTGAGATGATGATCAGAGACTGAGGGTGTGATGTTTGCAGCTGGGACACTGAACTATGGATGAGTTCAGCAGCATCAGCCGAGGGGAGGATGTAAACTGTAACCGCCAGGACGTGCGAAAACTCCCTCGGCAGGTAAAACGGCCGCAAACCAACCGCCAGCAGGTCAACATCCTTCGTGCAGCGCCGCTCTTTAACGCTAACGTGCTAGCATTACACCATCTCTCATTCACATACATGGCGAGTCCCACGCCTTTCTTCTCACCACTCTCCCTCCAACTCCGGTCCGCTCTGACCAGGTGAAATCTGTCCAAAGTTATGAGCGAGTCCGGAGTGAGTTCGTTCAGCCATGACTCCGTGAACATGTCGCTGCACTCCCAATAGTCCCACTGCAGCCGGGTCAGCACTGTTAGCTGTTAGCCGTTAGCTCCTCCATCCGTTAGGGAGAGGCCTCACATTTCCCATGATGATGGACGGACGGACGGCTTGTGGCGTCTCCTCTTCTCCAGACGCTTCACTCCTGCCCTGCATCTCCTCTTCCTCCAGCTCATCGGGGATGTCCGGTCTCTCCCATGATGGTGGCTCGGCCTTGGCCAATTGGCCATTACTTGAAAAGTTATGCTAAAATAAAAGCTCTTTAATTGTGTTATGTGCCTTGTCCATTAAATAAATGGACAAATCTCCATAACGTCACCCATGTGTTTCCTGAAGAGCAGCTTTGAAGCTCAGTGTGCTGGCTCCAGTTCTTGCCATCTTCCGCTAATTCAAATATGAGCAAAAGGATGGAGCATGAGAGGAGCGGAGGAGGATCATCAAAACGTCTCTTGGTCGTGTTGTGTCTTGTGATGGCACCCATGAGTAACTAAAAGTGGCCACACATTAACTTAAGCCTTCATATAATTTAAATGAGTGAGTTATAAATTTAAAAAAAAACAAAAACAAAAATTTGTACAGTTATTCTGAATGGGGAAATTAGCTGTAGAGACCAAAAACTTCTTCTTTTTTCTGTACCAGGTGGTAAACTTGTTTATTCTGCTGCAGAAGTTGGACAGTTTAACATAGCGGTCAATGGGGACTGACTTGTTTTGGGGTCAGCCTCAAGTGGTCATTTGAGGAACTGCAGTTTTTGACATTCCTATTCTCTAACCTGCAATGCAAGGAACAATTAAAAATCTTTAGGAACAGCTGACACCCAGTCTTACAATAAAGCTACACTGCTCCTCAGCACGAAATGTGATATTTTGTGCACTGTGACATGCCTTCTGTTGGTTTTTAGAGGTATTTATTGCAGGACTTTGTGTTTGGCATTTCTGTGGGTGTATTTTACCCAAACAGTGTTTCCTGAACCTAACCAAGTAGTTTTGTAGCATACATAAAGTCAAACAGCGACTGAAAAGGCACCAAACCACAAGCCCACATGCAATCCAGTCTCCAGATTTAGTTCTGATTGATCGTAACCACGTCTGTTTATTAGGATTTCAGTTGTACTAATGTAGCTTGAGCGTAGGCCTGGCTGTCTGGAGAAAATGTGCATATTTGAGGTTGATAAAACACTCCACATACATGGAAGTAGGCCAAAAATGCACACACATCTGTTACTTAGAGGTGACTGTAGGCTTCTTGTGTCAGATCTTCTATCTTCCTTTTTTCTGTTACGCCACAATCTTGGTTTTTGTTCATATTCAAGCACTCAAAGAACATTATAGTTGGTATTTGATTGTTGACTTTAATTATGTGCTGTGACAGTGACGAAAAAAGCCTGGCAGCCGCATCACGTCTGCCATATGTGCCCACAAATAATCATGCTGTTTCCTGGAGGCTCACATGGTTAGTCATTACCTTTCATTTCTGGTCGTATTCCAGGTGAAATAACCCAGAAATAGGCAAACCGTTGGTCTGTGCACTGATGGAAAATTGAAGACAGTAACATTTCGTGCAGATGCATCGTGAGCTGTTCGGATCGCTGGGTTTTGGCAGCGCGCTCTTAATGCAATTTCAGCTGAACAATTAATGCATGTCTTGTGCGATAAAGACTGAAGCAGCATTTGGTACAACACTTGGACGATACAGTGTGTGTGTGTGTTTTCGTTCCGTCGCTGTGCAGCACTAATCAGAGGAATGCTGATAATTGTCAGGATGCATGGCCGTCCAGTTTGGGAGAGGAAGTTGAAATAGGAGACGGGTGCTGAGGAGTGCGCCAGCATCCGGCCACTACAGCCACCTCTCCCGTCATCCGCAGAATGCCAGCCATGGCATCCAGCGCTCAGCCTGTGGAAGACAAAGCTGGATGCTCACAGCTGAACTGCAACCTGCCTCCGTTTTTCATTAGTCTTTATCTCGACGAGATGTGGATCGTCGGAAGAGGAGACTGGCGTTCCCGCTCTGATATCCATCCAAATCCTCTGCACAAACATGGAGAGCAGGAGTGGAGATGAGGAGCCGAGATGGGGGAGAGGGAGAGTGAAGAATTCAGGATCACAGAAGTGTTTACAACTGCAAAATGCTGGAGACTAATCTTCACAGCATTGTTTGCACAGGCCCATGTGTTCAGACATTGTATGGAAATGCACTCAGCAGAGCACACATTCTGCACACAGCCTTGTTTTTTTTGTTTTTTTCATCCAGGGTCTTGACGTCTGGAGATCTTATTGGAAATGAAATTAATCTGGAAGGTGTGCAGTTCTTCTCTTCTAATCTGCCATCGCTGCTGCACGTACTGTAAGAGCAGCCTCGCTGTTAATGTGATTACCAGCACTTACTTCTTAGGGGTTTTTCACATATTGGATGTCTCTCACATTCCTGTCTCTGTCATGCAATCCATACATTTCTACAGTGAAGGCAGAGCTCTCTATTTATATCACATCCTCCTGCAGCACTACATTGTTCTGATATGAACTTCTTCACATGTTTATTCTCCTCTACAGTATTTCTGCAGCTTGTTGCTTGTTGTTCTAATAGCACAACAGGGATCAATAAAAGCTCGCGTCAGCCTAGTTTGTATTGCAGGTGCTTCACATTCATCCCTGGAAGCTGCCTGCTTTGCTCTCATTTCGTAGCTCCGGTTCGTCAGTCCCAGTTTAAAGAGCAACTCGACAATGACAGAGAATTACTCATTCACCGCCGGATTCGGTGTTTATAGGCGCAAACTACGGGGCCGCGCGATAATCTAGCATGTGGTGAAGATGAAAAGGCTGCTTACACATTCTGTAATGCCCCACATCATTTCCATTTCCATTACCGAGCAATTTAAAACATTTAATTTGATGCCTATAAGTCTAACCGGAGCAGTCAGCACACAGCACAATCTGAGGACACTTTCTTCATTTTAGTCACACAAGAGGCAATAAAAGATAAACCCGGCTTCAGTTGGACCATATATTGGCTCAGTCATGCCAATCATGCTCTCAGTGGCATGATAAGCAGGTTCATGCATTTGCAAGATGAATGCGCAAGAAATGTTAATGCTTCCCACTTATGAGAAATAGTATGTTTTAACATGTATTTCCCTCTTTCTTGAGGCAGTATAAAAAAAACATTAACCATGAATCATAAAAGCTCATTTATTTATGATTATTACAATACAGATGATCGGTTTGTTCGCCTCTTTGTTAGACGCTGGACAAAAATCTAAATGTCACATTTGTATTTCTACGTCTGGAAGTACTAAAAACAGAAGTACATTTTCCAAAACAGAGGAAACAATGCAGGTAGTGGATTGAAACCGGAAATGATTTTAATAGACACATAACTCCAGTGCAAACCAAATAAAAATGCAAATCACAATACAGGGCGGTTATTTGTAAGTGTGCAGAAGGAACAGGATTACAGCTGAAGCACCATCATTACACAACAACACGTTAGCAACAGCGTCGTTATTAAAATACAGTTGTGACTTGATAATCCGACCCTCAACAATCAGAAACAGAACCCATAAAAACAGCCTTAACATAGCGACAGCCTTGGATTGTGACTCCAACATGACATTTAATGTCACCAATCAGGACAACGGCGTATTATCTGACTGAACAATCCCACAGATTGGCTACGTTCACACTGCAGGACTTGATGCTAAATGAAGATTTCTTTGTGACTTCCTTCACGTTTCCAGTTCAATGCGACTTGTATGTGATCTGCTGTGTGAACTTCATACGACCCAAAAGTGTCCCGCATGCGCAGAAGAGGACACGACGACGTCACACGCAGCGAGCGTGCTCAGTGTTTATGGAAGTAAACATGGATGATAGCGGTGGCGCCGGTGAAGGAAACAGAAGTGTGAGCGCTAACTAAACTAGCATCAGCAGCCAAGTACTTCCTGTGTGTTCTGGACACTTCCACCCCGTCGGAGCGCTGCCCCGGGGGGGGGGAATACGCGTATGTTCATCATTAATTGGGCCTGAATATCCAGAGATCAGAACGTGCTATTGGGACCAGCCCTACTAGTTATTATAACAACTATGGACAATAAATATTAACAACTAATGAGCCTTCCAGCATCAAGCCCTCCTTGTATCTCAACCTCCGTCCTGACAATCCGACAGCCTTGATATCCGACATAGAAGAAGGTTTCACATTTAGTGTCGGATTATCGAGTTATGACTGTGCATCTTTGCTCATTGATTACACCCTAAAATCTCTCCTTTATTACTTCAAGTGACATATTTAAGTGTTTTTTTCCATGAAAATAATCGCTTTACTCCTTTAAGCCTTGATAATACTCCCTTGTGGAAGCACACAAACAGCTGCAGACACCCACGGATACGTAGTGGTTGCTATTGTGCTGCTTTTGTTGTCTGCAGGAGTCCACTTGGAAGAGTGTACGGTGTATCTACTGTGTTTAACGCTACTGGCAAGCATGTGCAGTACTGGCCCTGCAGTGTGGTTGTTGTGCAGACTGTCTGCATGGACACACATTTTGTAGAGGGGGTTTGCACGCTCTGGTGAAATGACAAAATCGACACCATGCACATCCTTGCAGACTCAAGGACACAGTAAGTATAACATAGACGTAACTCTACAGCTGCTTAATTTAGAATGCATAGACTATTGAAGTCCCTGCCTTCCTCTCCAAGTCCTCCGCCCTACTTGCTGCAGCTCCAGCACACCAGCTCCTCTACAACTCCGCTCTGACAGGGCAAAACTACTCTAGAGGAATTCGCTCATATATGTCGGAATCGAAAACCAAGCCTGAGGACGAATAATGAAACAGAAAGTCCCACCTTGGAAGCTGACGGGACGGATTCCTCAAATGAAACCCCAGAAGTCAGAATCTTTTCGAGCCTGTCGTCAGTAAACTGCAGGTTCAAGGTGGAACCGCTCAGCCGTAACAGTGACTGCGTCAAAAACACCATATGGTCATGTTAACAAGGTAAAGCATCTGATTTACGCCGGTGGGAGTCTTTAACTCCTAACACGCCTCTAGGGGATTGAGTGCGTCTTCAGCATATTAAACATCAGCATGAGCCAAAGTGATGATTCACTCCTAAAAGTTACGAGCTCTGTTTAAAACATCCTCGAACAAGCAAGTGCAGCCTTTTATATAAAACACAAAGCAATCACATACAAACTGAGTCTATTGATAAGCTCGATCATGTCGTATATTATTGGATTTTACTATAAGTAGACTGAAACTATACCCTCCACCTCACTTCATGATATCAAATGAGGGTGCAATAGGAGATCCGGAGGGTTTATGAGTCACAAACCAATGACCACAACCAGCTTAAATATCATTATATTTAGCAGGAAGTGAAATGCAATCGTGTTTAAAGGCATGAAAGAGGGACTGTATGTCAGAGAGATACACCTATTCAGTCTGTTTAATCATTTCCAGACCTGCCCTATCACCAAAGCTGTATTTAAATGCAGGCATGTTGTTGGTTAAAGTTAAATAAGACATGCATGTTAACGTCTCTCCAGTGTGCGCCGCTTTCTGTTTCAGTTGTTTGGTGCACCGTCATTTCATACAGTTGTGTGGGGAGCGAGCGGAAGAGGTGAGGAACTGGGTGAGGGGGAGGGAAGAGAGACAGAGAGAGAGAGAGAGAGAGAGAGGGAGGAAGAGTGCAGGGTGCGCTCCATCCACAGCCTCACTCCACCGGACTGTCATCCTCCGAGCCGCATCTCCAGCTGCTCCTCCGCACGGCTCCACTTGTGTTTCCACCGGCTTCTACTCTCCACGGATGTAAGCATGGATACTGTCTAAGGGGCGAACCGACAGCAGTTTTTATTTTCCGGAAAAGAAAAAAAAGAAATCTCTCAAAGCTCAAAGTGAGAATAATGATGGAGTACTGGAGGCAGTGCGCGCTGTGGCTGATCAACTGCAAGGTGCTTCCAGCGAGCCACCGGGTTACATGGGAGTCCGCGCAGGTATTCGACCTGGCGCAGACCCTCCGGGATGGAGTCCTCCTGTGCCACCTGCTCAACAACCTGCGACCCCAGTCCATCAACCTGAAGGAGATCAACCTCCGACCGCAAATGTCACAGGTAAGAAACGCTCTGTTCCAGGCTGCGTCGCCAAACTACAACTTGGGAGAGAGCGCAGCCAGACTCCGTGAGAATTACGCCGGTTTAAAGCGTCACTCCTCCCCGGCAGCAGTGGCGTTCCTACAAGAACTTAACTGAATTGTACCTAAATCAAAACAGCTGTAAGTAAAAGTCGGCGTGATTTAATCAACGTTTTATGAAATGGTTTCAGGAAAATTTCAACTTTCTAAAAGCTTGGTTACGCCGCTCGCCTCCGCAGCCGCTGTGTGCTAGTTGGTGTCGATAAGCGGCACAAACACGGAGTCAACGAGTCGTTTTGGTTGAAATTTGATTCATTCCAGTCTGTGTTTGTGTGCCAAATGCACACCGAAGGAAACGTGTGCTCTTTTCCATTATGATACAGTCAGGATTATTGTGTTGTTACACGAGCACGTTGACAGTTGGCCGAGGCACGCAAAATGACCGAAAAAATAAACAGAGTTTGGTTGGCATTAACTGGGGCGGACTTGGGCGCTGCACAAAAGTTAAACTCTGAGAGACAATGACCAAATTCTCACTTTTTCTGCTTGTTTTACTTGGCTTACTCGCACAGGTTACTTATAGTGATTACTAGCCTGCTATTAGACCATGTTAGTCAACAGTAAACAGTGTGTACAGAGCTCCAGATATGTGCCCTCTGTGGGTGATGGATATACATAAGCCCTAAGTGGTGACCCGGCTTTGTTGTGGACTGTACTAATGAGATAAATCGGTTTATTTGAAAAGATTTGCCGTAAAGACTACTGATAAGGTGATTTTATTCAATGCATTTTATCCAGAAATCAAGTAAATAAGCTATTTGTTTAGATTGGCTGGCAATGAGAGGAAACAAAGGCAATTATGATGATCTGTGGTTGCTTTTCTGGTTTGTTCTTTAATAGATAGATAGATAGAGATCTGTGGCCACGTGGCTCCTGTTTGTCAGATACCATCTGTCTCAGTAACAGGACAGCCTGAGCCTGGACCAGATTAATATTCGCCTTCATAACACAACAGTGAATCTGAGCGTCTGGCCTGGTGACAGCACACAGTGAGGTAGACACTCACCTACCGAGTCTGCAGATCTGCTGTCGGTGTATTAGACCGCACCGCACACAGACTGCAGTGTATTACCTGTAATGGATGCCCATCTAATGCAAATCAGGTGATTAGCTATGAATACGAGCACTATGATGTACTGGATGGAGAGCTGGATTAAGGCCGTTTCCTGGAAAAAAAAAAAGCACTCAGTGTCACCGTCAATATCATATGCATTTACTGTTCGTTCACAATCGAATTGGGCATCCGCCGTTCGATTTGAGCGCGCAGGTCAAGTGGACGATTTAAAAAAGCATATAGGATTTTAATGTCATCAGGGGGAATGAGAATCAGCCGTGTGAGGATCCGTTTACTCGGAGATTTCAGTGAAAACTAGATTGGGGCTGAAAGAGGAGCCTGTCAGTCCATTTGCTGCTCGAACCGACATCACTGCTAATACGGAGCCGGCAGTAGTTTAGAGCTTTCTGTCAGCTGTGGCATATTGACATACAACAGAAGTCCCATGCGCAGAGGGGTGATGAACCATGCTTACGCTCAGCACCTGGCCTGGTCTGGCCTGGCCCGGCCCAGACTGGGTTATTTATAGGCAGACTTTGCTTTATGCATGGCTGGGTGGCTTACTCACACCACGCCAGTGATGAAGCTACGTTCAGAGGCACATTAGTAGTAGGCACGCTCCCACACATTTACTAAATGCATTCGCCAGTTCACGTATATGTGAGCATATAATGTGCACAAGCGCTGCTTTTGGTGCTGGTTTCTGCAGCGCTTTAACATGTTTTTTGGAGCTGAAGGTTTGGAGATGGCGCTCATTTGTTTGCCTGATTAACCGTTGTGATTGTATCTGCTCATCCAAACCATCCACAGATTGTTTTTGTTCATTGCAAAGCTGTAAAGTGCATTAAATCTTATTGGCCACAGGATTTCTAAAGAAAGAAACCTACTAAACAATGCACGTTACAGCTTTTATGACCTGATTAAAGTTTCAGTTCCTCTTTAAATTCGTGGTAAAATGTTCTCCTATAACAAAGGAGCACTCTGAATATTGTGCATTTGTTCTGAAACTTAACTGGGACTGTATATGTGTGTCAGTAGATCATGACTCACAGCTTTCCCTTTCACACCCATTCATGCTCTCTGTTATAAGCTCCCCAACGTGCACATCTCTAGTAAAAACACAGGCGTCAGGACCCCCCCCAGCAACTTTCTTCCCTCTGTCTCCTCCAAGTTAAATTTACATAACTGAGGGTGGAGTTGCTTCCCTTTCTCCCTGCATAATTCATGAGGACCGTGGCAGCTACTTTGTCATTGGCCAATAATAACACATGGGACGCCGCTGTGGCCTCACCCGTGGGACCTATGAGATGGAAAGACAAAGGCGGTGAAAGGACAGAGCTACAAAGAGTCTGTTTGGCCTCCATAGAGGCATCTCAGAGGACATAAAGGGACCTGCAGGGCGAGCCCGCCGAGCCGGGGTTGGCTGCTTAATTAAAGTACAATGCATCCGAAGCTCTGGAGAGTTCACATGTGGGATGCTGGCATCGGGACGGCCGGCTTCTTGTTCTGCAACATTAATTGTGTTTGGATGATTTGTGTGGGCTGGAGGGAGTGGGTTCTGTTGAGAAATGGATCACGCGAAGGCAACAAAGAGACCAAAAAACTACTTAGAAATAACCAGGTGAAGCAGGAGGGATCCGTCTATTTACTGATGAAATGAGCTGATCTGTGCCGTTCTCTCAAGCCCGAGATAAAGAAGGATGTCGGTGCCATGAGCCGGTAGCGGATGATTCGACCGCGTACATTTACAAGGTTTGCAGGGACGCTTTAAAACAAAGAACTCAAATTTTTTCAGTTATGGGCTCAGGATCAGCGTCTAGCAAAATTTTCACCCTCTTTGATCGGATTTTTACAGGGCCGCAATGAACTAATTACACAGTCTAGACACAGTTCGACCGCAGCAAATGCAGCATTTTGCTTTCCTACCAGAGAAAACACCACATAATCGGCGGTTGTTTTTGGTCTCGCTCAGTGGAAATCAGGGGGTTTAGCTTGAGGAGGAACTATGGATGGCTTGTCATGGTGCAGCGAGCGGAGCGTGCGGTCAAACATGCAGTCTTTTTATCCATCTGTGTCTTGAAATGTTCGGTGTTCTGCTGAATCTGTTTCTGCTAAGAAAACTGCAGATGTCTTCCAAACCATGCTCGGTTTAGTTGGTGGCGGCGGCGGCGGCGGCGGCGTTCAGCTGCTCGCTATGGCTGTTTCTGGTGCAATGCTGCTATAAAGGCTAAGTAATGTGACAGAACGCCCACTGGGGCAAAGGGCAACCAACGAGTCACATAAACAGCTCCTTAAATGTGAAAAATAAACAGCCTGTTGCGGGGTTTAAAAGTATATAAATATATAATTTGATTGAAATTGAAATCCTGAAATTTGCCCCGGCGCCCCCGAACTCGCTAAGCCTACTGTTGCCTTGTTTTCCGTGACACGGGATTACGGGCCGCGGGTTCAGGGTGAGAACGCGAACCGACCAGCTGCCGAGAGCCTCTCGCGCAGACCAGCCGAGGGCCTCGACATGCACAGGAAATCAGGAAACGGAGTCGAGGAAGGAAGTGAAACTAAACATGCCCTCGATCGAGCTCCGACCAAAGCGGCGAGATGTCAGACACAATGTAGAGTCTCTCTCTCCGCACAGCAAAAAAAACCCCAAAACAAAACATCCCACTTTGCTCTTCGCAGCTTCAAAGATTTCTGGGCCTGTTCTTCATTCGTGAAAAGTGAAAGTGAGAGAAAGACGCGCTGTGAGTAAAAGTCAGGTCTAATTTTAACGAGGATCAAGCAGCAGAAGTCTTGGCGACACGTCGTTACACAGGAAAACAAGATTCCCAACCGACTGAAGGCTTAATTAACCAATTTATGAACTAGTTATCTGTTTAAATGCAGAACATTGTCGAGCCAGGCCACATACAACAAGCCCTAAACTTTAAAACCGCTCAAAAGATGCTGCATTTCTTCCATAAATGAAACAACCGCTCCATATTCTGCTATTTGACAGGTATGCAGGCAGCGTGTTATTCTGGCTGACCTGACTTTGACTCTCAGAGACCTTGACAGCTGTATTACATTCGTACTCACAGTATACTTAGAGAATACCGTTATACATTATACATGGTGCATATGTATATTTTATCAAACTGAGACCAAAGTTCTGTGATGTTAAACAAAGAAGAGAAAAGCCGGTTTCACACAGCGAGCACTCCATGCAGCGGGCTTCAAAGGCGCCGAGGCTTGCGACTAAAGTTAGATGGAGGTAGTGTGGGAGAATGAGACGCACACAAAAGAGGAGAATGTTTTAATTTTATTTTTGGTGAAGCGACTCATATAGGCTGAGGAAACTGGAGCTGCGTCTGCATAACAGCTTGTGTGACGGTATGAAATGTAATGTCCCGAATGTAAGCATGTAAAGTTTGTCTGAGAACTTTAGGGTTCATATCAGGTTTTACAGCGTAATTACAGAGCAGTAAAACTTATTGTGGGAATGTTCCTGTAATGGAAATGCACGGTAGCTGATAGAAAAGCAGAAGAGTGAACCACATAAACTGATGTGTGAACACTTGGCCATCACATATTCACATCAGAGACTTTTGGTTTCTCTGTGATGCTAATCTGTAGAGATTTGAACTGTATGTGTCAGAAAGGTTCCAGGACTGGCGTCACAGAAGATATATTTCAAATCCAAACTAGTTTTCCCCTTTGAAGTAACCCCCCTGGAGTCTAACACACTTCCCCAGCCATCTTGATGTCGTTCACATCTTCTAAACGGGTCCCCTTGATGACCCCCTTGAGCTTGGGGAAGAGGAAACAATCCCACGGAGCCAGGTGGGGTGAGTAGGATGGAGATGTTCTTCTCAGCCAGGAACTGTGGG